TGTCCACCGTTTGACGATACAGCAACAGCCCAAGGTTGCTTAAGTTCGGTTGGTTTTCCTTTGATCCAGTGTAGAAATTCTCCTTCCAGTGTAAAAACTAGGACATTGCCGTTTGCACTGTCACAGATTATCAAGTTGTTAAACTTGTCAACGGCGAGTCCCACAGGACATCGAAGCCCACTGGACACTTCTGTACCAATGTCATATAGAAATTCTCCTTCATTATTAAATACCTTCACGCAGTGAGCTGAGCCATAGGAGACATAGAACATGTCTTGATGACGTAAAGCTACACATGGGTACGCATCACAATCCGGAGCCCTGAAGGACTGTAATAACTCTGTACCGTCAGGGGAGAGGACTTTGACCGTGTTGTCACCTCGGTCACACACCAGCATGCGGTCATCACAAGCAATGGTCATCTTTCCTGGTTTGATCAATTGTTTGTTGAAGATGCTTTTAATAAACTGGCCGCTTTCATTGAACCACAAGATACAAAAATCGCAGATGATGACGTCGCCAGACCTGTTGAATGCTACTGAAGTAGGGTATTTAAGTTTCTTAGCAGCAGGTCCCTTCTGACTACACTCTCTTAAATAGGTTCCATCTGAACTAAAGAGTTGTACTCTTTCATTAGAAGAATCAGCTACTGCAATTTTCCCTGTTTTGTCATTTATTGCAATATCGCAGGGGTAACCAAATTTTCCTTGTGCTGTACCACGTGATCCAAAAGACCCTACGGCATCGTATTGATGCGGCTTCACGTGAATACTTCCTAGGCAACCAGTCAGCGGTTGACTATTTACTTCAATCACCACGTCATGATGTCCATCACAATCGGGTGTGTAGGTGATGCTATATTTACCATCTTTGCTGTCATTAATGTCGGTGTCGAGGTCCTGTTCTGACGGACTGTGAACTTTTACAACAATCTGATCGATTTCATTATAACACTGTTGTCCCTCTGCATTCTTTGTTGTGACTGTCAGGCTAGCTTCTCTTCCAGCTTCTGCCTCTTTTAAGCCTTCCCCTTCCGCCACTGATTGAAGAGGATCAGTTGTACTAACAATAACTTCACCCAGAAACACGTGTCTAACATTCTGGATATCCTCTTCATTTGCCTTGTACTGAACATGCGATGGTTGATAAATGTTCATTTTTCTTGCATTTAGGAGACCTTTACACCTTTCCATGACACCCTGCTGCGCTTCAAGAATTTCAACGCTGCTGTTTCCTTGTAAAATTCTTTCGCAATGTTCCATAGACATTTTCAGTTGCGTGGCAGATATCTGAAAGTGTTCTAACTGTGTTGCGTGATCTCTTTGTTGTTCTTTTTCAATAACATCCAACTTGGTCACCATGGCGATCTCGTGCTCCTTTAAAACTCGAATGTGTTCTTCGACAGTGGTTGATACTTTGTTACGAGCGGAAGCAATTTTTTCTCTGTTTTTCCTCAACAATTCTGTTGTTTCCTCCATTTGTGTCGTGTGCTCAGCAATCCTTCGTTTCATTTCCTGCACAAGCTCCGCCATCATTAGTTTTTGTTCCTCTGCGGCTTGCTTGATACCCACCTTGGTGTGATTTGCATGACGCGTTTGTCCACACTTGTCGCAAATGCAAACTTTGCAGTTCTGACAATAATAATTGAGGGGCTCATTCTCGTGATGTTTCTCTTTACACATGACAGATGTGGCCACCAATTCTTCCAGTTTCGAACATGTACCTTAAAAAGCACAACAGTTATGAAAAAAACCTGGTGAAACGAGACTTGTAATGTGCTCTAACACTAAGTGCTGGACCCAACAAAAAATGACATTCTCTTCTTCGCATAGTTACTAACTAAGAAGAGTTTTCGAAAGCTACACGTTTTTCGGTTGCCACCGATGAAAATGCTATCGGGTCCCAATCGATCTCAACCCATAACGTTTATTAATAAAATAAATTAGGGAAATGAAAAAAAGGAACTGCGTTATATTGTAAGTAGTGTATGATTGGCAAGCCAGGTTATTGTGAGGTGGTCATAGTTTTATGGCTAGTCCGATTCTTAAGTAATATATCAAACACGAAAGACTGTGTTTGACCATATTTCCAAACACCGAGAATAGAGTTGAAAATACCATGCGTGCGTAGCGGAGTATTTTTGATGAACTTCGAGGTGTTTGAAAATGTGGTCAAACTAAACCTAGGGAGAAAACGGAGGAATAAAATGGTAAAACTCTTTGCTAATTAAGATCAGGTATCCAAACACCGTCACGGTCATGAAACTCGATTTTGAGATTATACTTTCTAGCTTGATGTAGATTACTTACATTTACATAAGCATACTTGAACGATTCTATTTAGCGCCCTGGGGACTAATTTGCCTTTGGTAGCTCATAATTACAATAAGGCGCTCACTAGAGCGGGGGCGCTTACTAAATTAAAGAAGAGTCGAGGCGCTCATTCTTGTTTTCGACACAAACATGGCGACATGCGATAAAACTCTGGTGAACAAAAAAGACCTCGTGACTTAAGAACTATAAAGTAGGTGTTCGTACAGTAGTAAAACTAATATGCTATTTTTTCTAAGTCAATATGTTCAATATTAGATTCAGACTAGTAAGCAGACTACAAAATTTCAGTATTGGTGGTCTCATGAATTAATCCAGTGTACATTTCAAACCGAAAGTGGCTCTAGATTAACACCATGCCTGTTAGCACGGTATATAGTTGTATGTCTTACGTTAAGGAGTGCCTCCCTTGCTAGGAACTCCCAACCCCTGTGTATGAAGTGCGAACGAATTGACGAACTTCATTTATCTAAGTAACTTAAAAATTGAATCATTAAGCTTACCTTCATCACCTGATTCCTTTCTGTTACTCACAGTTGCTGCTGTTAAATCATCAAGTTTTCTCATGACATCTGTCATCTTGGTTCCGATCTCTTTCAGCTCATCTTTAATGTTGTCCTCGTCCTTTTTCCATTCACTGAGAAGTTTTTTGTAGTGATCTTCCATTTCAGGGTCTGTGCACTCAGTTTCCAGATTGTCAATAGCTGCCCTGTACCTAACTCCTCCTAGTCTCACCAGAGTGTCCCGAATGTCTTGCCAGTACGCCTTGAACGTTGTGTCATCAATCGAAGCTTGTTCGGCATGCGCGTACACGGTGTTTCTAAAGTACTTAATACGTGCAATGTCCGCTTGACGACTCATGTCCGTTGCAGCGGGAAGCGCGTCCCATCCAGTCATTGGAGAAGGTAAGCCACCCAAATTTCGTAACAGAATCATCAAAAGAGAAGTGTCGAAGTCTCTCGAAGACACTGAAGAAGAAATGACAGGAAAGAGCTTGCCCCATTGCGTCGCATTGATAATTTTCCTTGATCTGAGAGACTGAAGTGTGGTTTTATTTGCCGCCAAAACTGCGTGAAGATTTCTTGGTACGTGCCTGGCATCAAGTGTGTCTCTGAGGGCCTGGGTGCCAACATCAACCAGGAGACGACACAAGCGAGCATAGTTAGTCGTCTCCTTATTACTGGATGGAGCTGTTGGTACTACACCAGCCATGAGATTAATCGGCTATTGAAAAAGAAATAAAGTACTCTACTTTTAAATGCAAGGAATGTTGATTTAATAATTTATACTTTCAACTTGAAAAGAGAATTTAGAATGTAGGACCTGCTAGGACGGTGCCCATATCGTCTTAACTCTCCTCATGATTAGATTGTTTGGAATGGATGATCCTTGGTTAAAATAAAAACTGGGAATTTAAGTCTTAATTAACACAGAAGCAGCAGTAAAACTGTTGTCATGGCAACGGCACAATGGGCATTTTTTGTTTCTTTTTCAAAGATGCCTTGACGGCGATAGTGATGTTTCGTCCTGAACACCGTGAGTGAGGCCAGAATTCCTGACTACACCCCTAAGCAAAACGATAAGCATCCCTGGCCTTTCTCAAGGGAGTCCCTTCCCCTCCCCCGGGAGGCAAACAACTCTTCCTGTAGACGTGGTTGGAATGCAAAGCATCCAACCATAAAAGATTTTTGTTTCATTGTAATGTGTTCAATTTAAGAGGAACATAATAAAAACCACCGAATCGAACAACCAAAACGAAACGAAATAACCGAAGCCATTGAGGATTATTGAGAGCTATGGCTTACTGACAGGCTATCCTGAGGGTTTTCGCTAATTTAACAGGAGTGCTATTCAGGTTAAGGCGGAATGCAGGACTGCAGGACTGCAGATCTAGTTTTAATGATAATGGGTTCTTTGCAATAAAGATAATGGGTTCTCTTGCCTCGTTGATTTCGTTTCGTTTCTGTTTAACATTTCGGCAGTTTCGTTTCATTTCTAGTACATGTAACAATAACATACTACTTCAACGATATAGGACCTTAAATTTGACTTTACAAATTCAATTAACGACACAAACCTGTGGATCTTGGAAGTCCTATGAACTGAAATCTATTGAACCCCAAACAGCAACTCGACCGTCGAGGACGAGTTTGCGCCGGCGTTTTAATACTAAAGGCGAAGCTTTACAGAAATTGATCACTACCGTGGACTGTGTTCATTACCAGAGCAATTTCATTTGCATTTTTTCGCGGTCAGTTTACTTTCACATTCTGGCTTTGTTCGCTCTTGGGCTTCAGATCACAGAGAGTCCTTCATTCATTCTTCAGGGGTGGTGTGCTTGACTAATTTTTTTTTGTTGGACAGCAACAATATGTTTCTTAAGAATTAACTGGAACGTTAGTCAAAAAAAAAAAAAAACGTAATTGTTTCCAAAATGATTGGAATGGAATGAAAAAGAAAGAAAAGTAGGAAGAACACCTTCCCTTAGTTTTCACGATTGAGTCTTTTCCAGCCCCTCCCGGGTAAGCAGCCAGCCAGTTCGTTAGCGAT